AAAAAAAAAAAAAAAAAAAGAAAAAAACACACACAAAAAGAAACACTCAACTAGAATGAAAAACAAAATAATGCACTATACATTATTCAAGAAGATTCTTTCCCCACTAGTTAAGGAGAGAGAAAAAAGAAATCAAACAATTAAAGTTCTTTTCCCAATCATTTTAAAATGTGCCCAATAAGCCGTGAAAGAGAACTTTTTACTTTGGCAAGAAGAGAACTGTTTGTATGCGTCACATCACCTGAAAATGATCATTTAATACTCGTGCAGGGAGTCTGTTGTACAAAGCATACATACCAAGTGTGCTAAAGTAATAATAATTTTAAAGGATTTATGTTTTCTCAATATACGTGATTAACTGCAAAAAACCTACACTAATACATCACATCCTTAAGGAAGGAAATTCAATAATCAATGTTCTTATGACATGAGTATTGTATTTGGGAGTGTAATAGGCCGTCAAACGTGCGTCTTCCTACACATACCACAGCTATGTTACTGTGGCTACAAGAACCTCAACTGTTGAGCTCATCAATTACAAAGGTTCCCATTTGAAAGATTTTCTAAATCCTTTCATATCCACTGGAGTGAAAATCTGCTGTTATTGCAAAACGTACTTCCCAAAGACAGAAGACCCTTTTCTCTTTCACTCCCAACTGTAAGAACTTCATTACCCCCACCTTTTCTCACAGCCACGTTCCCAAACAATTCCCCCTGCATCCTTGCGAATGCTGTATTAGGAAGTATCTTCTTGGTCCTGTTCTACCCACTCCCCTCCCAACAATGAAATTCTTCTCTTCCTCCCATGTCATCTCCACTGTGAGTTACAAAATTCCCCATGACTTTTTTTTTAAAGACACATCACTGGCTTACTGGTAAGAATAAAGATTTATAGACCAGTTTCCCAAATAATGTGAGAACTTCAGGTGACTTCTTTTGTATTCAGACAAATTCTAATCACCGCGAAGTCAATGGAAATTTTACTACCAAGTCTAAGGGAAATAGAACTAAGTAATACCTTTAAAAATAAAAAGAATCCACATTTAACACAGAAAATATCCTTGTATAGACAGGACCATTAGGTAGTGAAATGCTAGTAAGATTTTAATCAAGAAATCCATACCTAATTCTAGCCACAATTGTACACACCTCTCTCCCTACACTGACACACCAAACTTTTTATTTGTGACACCTGGGTTGAGAGAGAGTTTCTTCAAATGAACCACACAGACCACCATCCTGAAACATACCTGGGCTTTCCACCCTCTTGTAGTGGTATGGATTAATACAAACTTCCTTTTGCTTCGATCCAAAAGGAAATTCACAAATATCCAATGGTTTCAGCTCGTGGTGACTCTGCAAGTCAGGCCAACGCCAAACACGACAGTAAATAACGTGGGGTAAGCCTTTTCTGTGAGAGACTTGAAGTCGGCCATCTAGAGAACGGGGAATGGTAACACACTTGCTGGGCTGTCCAGGACTGCTCAAGGCTTTCTCCAATTCCTCCATAGCACCTTTTTTCTTTTTTAACTTTTTTACCAAGGCATCAACAGCTTTTTCAGCCCATTTTTCCTCTTCATCTCCTTGTTTCCAGCCCAACAGACGCTTTACAGCTGGGCTAGTAAAAGAGAACAAACTGGCCATTGACGTCATTTGACACAAGTCTTCAAGGAACTTCTACACAAATAAACTTCAGTGTTTGCAAGAAGGAGTTTTTGCAGTGAATAAGCTGTATTGTTTCCTGGAAGACAGCAACTGATTGAGCAGATGTCACTTGGTAATTAACGTCTTTCTATCACAGGATGAGTCTTCTGAATTAATCCTATTAAAAAAAAAATGTAGTTAGTTTCTGCATTTTTGGAGGTGGGGAGAAGAGGAGGAAGGGAAGAGAGGCAAAAATGAAAAGCAACTAAGAGAAGCTATTTCTTTCACTTGAATCATGGCTACTGCATCCACTTTTTTTGATTGTCAAAGTATTACACCGCACCTCTCATACTTCTAACTGAAAGAAAGTTTATGCCTCCTGGAGAAGCTGTGAAGTGTTACAGGGAGGGAATGACAGTAGTGGCTCCAACAGATACAAGGTTCTGTTGCCCATCCCTCACAACGGGCGATTTTTTCTGGCAGAATTTGGTTAAATGAGATTACAGTTAGCACAAAGTAAAGAAAGCATTTTATCTCCATTTCTCACATACAGGCCAGGCAAAGCATACATTTGCATAGAAGCTAAAACATTTACCAAGCAGCTAAGTAACTAACCTACTCAGCAGAGGCAGATACAAACTCAGGATAAGGAGGAGCAGCAAATTCCTGGGGTGGTTTCCTGAGAGAAGCCTATCATGTCACCCCTCCAGATCCTGAAAAAAAAATGCTGGAGCTTCTATCAAGTGGCTGTCTCTGGACCCTGCTCAGATACCCCAGTTCTTGTAGCTAGTAATTATGAAAACCAAACCACCGCTGGGGATAACCAACAAGAAAAACAAAGGATTCAGACATGGTCAGTCACCTTGGCCACTTCATTTTTATGCTCCTCCTCCTTGTACTTCTTGCCAGTTTTCTGATGGTTTGAAATAATGGACTTTTCAGTCTTAGGCAACAGTGTTCCTCCCCTTAAAAGATACAAAAAGGTGGAGCAGAACCAGCCCCAGAAATATGTCCTGTTGTCTGAGAAAGGATCTCTCCCTTCCAGTGTGAGCAGTATCACACAATACAAAACTGCTACAAAAACAGTTTTCATGTGCTGCCCTGTTTTCTATTACCCACCAGATTCCAGTGTAAAATTGTTTAAAAAAAAACAGGGAGTAACGATGACAAGAGGAAGTGATGTGCTGTGGCAACAAATTGATAAGAACTCGTAAAATCCCTTGTGAATACTACACAAGCAAGCACAGACAATGAGCAGCTGGCAAAAAGCAAGGGCAGAGCTAACAGAAAGGATGTCAATAACAAAAGATGCTTCCTTTCTTGCTACAGAGACTGCCAAACAATATTGTCTCTCAGCGTTTGATAAACTTGGGTGAATCAGAACACCTAACACTCTGGACAGTGTGCGCGCTGAAAAGCATAATGATGATTAAAAAAAATCCACCCAAGTATCTCAGTACTAAACAAGATAAAAGTATATGATTTCAAAATGCCAATACTCTCATATCACTTCCTCCAGTTGTCAGAATATTTTACTTCTGCCACGCTGCAAAAAGTAACCGGATAACACTTCTCAGCTTTTTTGAGTTAACTCCAGACACAATACTGGGCAATACCGTTAAGAATCCTTGAGGCATAACCCTGGGTACCTTCCTATAGTTTTACGCTGAGCCACCAGAAAAAAAAAAAAAAAAATGTTCTCTGAGTGTAGTGGCCTGGTTCTTGGCTGTTACACTCCATTACTGCATCAGCAGCAATTCAAGCATTAGCTTAAGCCTAAACTCAAGCCACAATTATGAACATCAGATAAGGGTAAATGACACTCTGGGTTCAGAATACTCACTAACCACAAACATTTAACTTTTTCCTTTAAAATACAAGCATGTTTGCTGCAATCAAGATCAAATGTAAAACACACACACACACAAAATATTATGGGCATCCCCTCTACAAAAGGAAAAAGGGATTTGGAACAGACAGTTACTACAAATGGCCTTATCCTACAGCATCATTTTGAAAGCTATGGTAATTCTCCCAACATAACAAGGCATTTTAAACTGGGAAGGTGGGGGGAATTAATGGTAATTCTCATTAGAAGCATCTTACTTACTTTTAAATGCTCATTACAATACCAAAATGAGAAAAGAAATGAAAGAAAGAGGTCTTCTATTACTTCAGTCAGCACTTACTGAATGCAGTACTGCAATAAATACTACCGAGTAGTAATGTAAAGGTTTGGGGGGA